TGAATCAGGTCACTCCACAAACCTACCAGCACTCTTATTGATCAGACTGGAACAAGTTTCAGTTGCACAATTGTTTTTTTGGGGTTTTTTTTGCTGTTAGGAGAATGGGAGCAATTTTGTGAGTCAAATGCTACAGCTTTAGAAGCAATCTCTGATTTAAATGCTTATAGAAATGTTGATTGGAGGGACCTCTGAATGGCAGTGGCTTTGTCTGGGTACATTTTGAAAAACCTCCAAGGACAGCACTTCTACAGCCTTTCTGCCAACCTATTCTGATAGTGCACCACTGCCCTAGTAAAAAATTAGTTTCCTAATTGGGGACTTTATTAATGTTTATAAATACCTAGAGGGTGGGTGTCGAGAGGATGGGGCCAGACTCTTTTCAGTGGTGGCCAGTGATAGGACAAGGGGCAACGGGCACAAGCTGGAACACAGGAGGTTCTGCTTAAACATGAGGAAAAACTTCTTTACTGTAAGGGTGGTGGAGCACTGGGACAGGCTGCCCAGAGAGGTTGTGGAGTCTCCATCTCTGGAGATGTTCAAAACCCACCTGGACACCTTCCTGTGCAACCTGCTCTAGGTGAACCTGCTTTGGCGGGAGTGTTGGACTAGATGATCTCCAGAGGTCCCTTCCAACCCCACCATTCTGTGATTCTAATGTCCATCCTGAACCTCCTGATTCACAGATATTGCCTCATGTTATATTATTTAGCCCTACTGAGAAATATTTTGTTCCCATTGCAGTCACCCATCAAGTAGTTGTTGGATTTTCTTGGAATTGTTGCAGTTTCCTTGGAATGAAGATTATCCAGTGTGAACAATAAGCTTTCTTAATTGTTTTTTTTTTTCCCTCTGTATCTCAGTATTCCATTTCTTGGTGTACTAAAATGGATTTGCATCTGTGATTCATACATATGGGGCAGCTTATTGACCATTATCTAACAGACTCATTTATCACAATTTTGAAATTGGTTAGGGTCAAAGATCTTAATTAACTTTTGCATGGCAGCCTTTCTTGGAGAAGTGGGGAACCGTAGCTTCTCTGTCCAGCATTGTCCTTCCTTTTCATAGCTGAGCACTGGAGCAGACTGGAGTCTGGGAGGACTAGAGTCAGTGCCTGGTCTTCAAATGTCCTTGTACTACGGGGAGATTCCTAACAACACTGTATTGCTGATTTGTCTCTCCAATTCGTAAGCCTCCAGGACTCATTTTGTTACCAGTTCTGAAATACCTGCCAGTATTGCCCATCACAGCTTTCATGGATTCAAAACCAGTTCAAGGGAATTCCAGCTGGTATCTGCTATATTAATTGTCAACAAGTTATGTCCTCTTTTATGTGAACATGATAAACCACCCGACTGCTCCTGGATGTGGCCGCTGCTGTGGAACGCTGACCAAATCCGTGGGCTTAGTAATTAATTTCTATTAAGCATTACAAGAGCTATAATGCAGATTTATGGGACTGTGTTGTGAGTTCACTTATGGAGAAACTGATGTCTCGAACATCTGAATCCCCTTTTTCTTCTGTCAGAAAGGAAAATGTGGTAAATCAGAGACAGGTCACCCATGCACCTCTCTCCATGTGCAGGGCTGTACTGAAAATGGAGAGCTGCAGGTTTTAGGATTTAGATTTTGGATGGCTTTTTTTAGATCCTTACCTTCCCTGATAAATTCAGCAGCAGTCACAAGGGGGATATTTCTGTGCATCCACATGAAGTGAGAAAAGTGCCTGCTTCTGTAGGCACCGGTGTCCTGGCCTGACACCGTGCTCTGTCTGTGTGGGCGAAAGTGTAACAGTTGGGTTTGGAAGCTGGAGCAGAGCGTAATTACCAAACTCCAGCCGCATTTCATGCACAGACAGCGTTACCCCCGTTGTTCTGAGACCGGGCTGCTTTTTTTGCTTATTTTCTAGGTGGAATTTAAGGCATGAGCTGCAAAACACAAAGCAGCTCCGGCTGTGATTACCTCTGTGAGTGCCTTTCCCTCCTCCGGCGGTCACAGTCAGCCGAGGAAAAGCGAAAGCTGTCAGGTCCCTGTAGAAAAAGAGAGAAATTAGTGCTGGCAGAGTCTGTACGCGACAATTTATCTGCTGTGAAGTTTGAGTCCCCTGTTCCTGCTGGTGTGATCTGTTAACATAACATGCCTGAAATGTTTTCTTACATTCTTACAGTTTTTTCTAAGATGTGCAAAATGAAAAACACGGGGATATTTACTCCAGTGCCACAGGAATTGTGATGGGCTTGTTTTCTTTTTTTTTACCATTCACAATTTATGCCATTGATTATATAGTTGTGTTATAATATATAAATTAGCCACATAAACATAGATCTTATGTAAAGATCTATGTGAAGCTTATGCTTTAAAATCTTTAGTGGAGTCATAGGTGCTGAGTAATTAAATGAAAGAAGTACCTTTAAAAAAAAAGTGAAGTTAGAGCAGGTCTTTTGGTAAGTGTCTTTATTACATTTAGTGCTATCAGTTGTTAGTGCTGAGAATGCCTTAAACCATTTTTTTAGATTTAGCTCCTTTTAATTCTTCTAATTGGTCAGTTAAAATATTCCTCTTAGCTTCAGTCCCGTGTTCTTCATGGCACTTCTGTAAAATCCTTCTTTACCTGGTCGTCAGATAACATAAAAGAATTAGTGCTTTAGAAAGACACACAGCCGTGCCCTCTGGATCTTGGTTTCTGTTCCCTCCCCAGCTGATGGTAAGGAAGGGCACTAAATCCTTATTTTCTCCCTGTGGTAAGCAGACGTTCTTCAGATACTAATAGAGGCAGATAAGTTGAGCATGCAGTCTGATTTCATTAATGTTTTCCAGGATTAATATTAAGTAGATCTCAGATCAACAGCTCTGTATATTCCTTATCAGACTTTTAATTACTGCAAGTATATTGATCGTTCCATTTCAATGTATTTAACTCTCTGTTTGCTACTTGGATGCTATTCTTGATGCTATTCAGTCCCCACACTTGCATCCACGTTGTGTGGAGTGATGCAGATGATTGTGTGTGAGTTTAGAGGCTGTTTAAAAAACAAAAAGATTAATTGAATTTAGTCTCTGAAGTATTTTTTTTTTAATTTTATTTAAAACACAAAACCAGCCAGGTACTTTTTAGAGGTTACAGACACCTAAATAAAAATTTACCTGATTAGGATTTTCTGTATAAATACCAGTAGACCTTAATTCTGGTATTTCACTGTTTTAAAGATCAGTGTCCCAGTGTAAGTCAGCAGCCTCAGCGGGGGACACTCTGTGATCTGGTGAGGCTATTTTTGTGAATACTTACCCCAGTCTTTGTTGCTGTTGTTTTAAAAAAAAGCACTTAGATGCTGAAGTTTAGAGCCTTGTATGTAAAAACAAACTCCCAAACAAAAAATCTGTTACCAGTTTTCTTGTGAGAACCACATTTTCACCCATATTCCTTTTCCTCTAAGAAAGAATTAACAATTTTATAGAAATGCTCTTTGATTTCCTAACTAATACATTGCTGATTTATAGGCAGCCAGAGTTAAGTGTGTGAGTGTGTAGTCATTATTGTACTGTATTTTAATTAGATTTTATTTTGCTTTGGGTTTTTTCCCCATTAATTCTCAGGTTGTTTTCACATTACACTAATCATTCCAATTACACATGTAATTCATCATCTGGTGCATATTAAACTGTCTTCAGCTGCATTTCAAACACTGATGCTGAATTCTTGTTCTGAACTGATTGTTCAAAAGAAAATCCATTCTTGAGCAGAAGCGTTAAATTTCCTGCAAAGTTCGTTTCCTTCATGCAGCATCCAGCAGATTTGAAAAATGATTATTTATAAATGATATATATTATAAATGTGATTATTCATCTCACACTGGTGATCCGCTCCGCTTACTGCCGCTGCTGTGTGGGGGGTGCCGGCGTGCTCCAGGTCATGGCTGTGTTCAGCCTCTAGCAGACTGGCAGAAGCGAAGGTAGTAGAGATGTTGCTCGTGTAAGCGCTTCCCCATCTATTTGCATCTCATCACAAAACCAAAAGGTGATTTCCTATGGATTCCTGCTCAAGAATTGCGCCTTAAAACCAGGAGGGGTTTTCTTTTGGGTTTAACTGTCGAAACACACTCACACACTGTTGTTGGTGTTCCACTGCCTTGTGGATAGTTTCCTGGACTATTGTATTGCCAGTTTCTTTCTCAAAGGCAGACAAAATGTTTGGAAATCGAGTATCTGTCGAAATACCACTTTGTTTATCCTCTTTTTACTGAAGGATTTAATGCCGTTGGTACAGGAGAGAGAGTTGAGAGCAGCAGCAGATGTACTTGCCAAGGAGTAGCAGAGAAAGCAGGACCCAGTACGGCTGGAACTGTTTTCTCTTGTGTGTTTATAGTAAAGGTTGTGCTGGCTGTGCAGTGAGAGGAGGAATGTCTCCTTGGGGAGACTGTTGGTCAGTAGATGGGAGCAGAAGGGGGAACAGGACCTTCCCCTTACGATACATTGATACACCATGTCTGGGAGCAGCTCTCAGCACTGCAGAGCTGCGTGGATGCCCTGGCCTTGTGTAGCAGGAGCATGTCTGTCACATCAGGCAGGGCTGATGGGGGAGAGGGTAGTCGGGGTCTGCAGCCTCCCTGCTCTCCCCCACAGCTCCATCTCTGCCTGCAAAAATGACTGGGTTGGAGTGAAGCCCCAGTTTTGATTCCTTACCCAGCCATGAATTCAGTGTGCAGCCTTGCCTGGATTTCTCCAATCTCTGAGCCTACTCCCCTTTGTTAAGATGGGACTAACCAGACTGAGCAAACTGCTTTGAAATATGGGTATGAAACTCTGTCTGAATGTGCCAAGCAGCATTACTGCATTTCAAGTGACCTTTCGGTCTGAAACGTTGCCAAAGGGAGGGGAAAGGAAGCCACCGTTGAATCGAGTTCTGCACAGAGATCCTGCAAACAGATGGTGTTTGCATATAGGTTATGCTGTTCGGGTGCAACTTTACTACAATGCTCTTCATTTTTTTATAATTTCAGGCGGGCTAAACTCCGGCTATATTTGGAACAGCTAAAACAGCTCGTGCCTCTCGGGCCGGACAGCACCAGACACACCACTCTAAGTCTGTTGAAAAGAGCTAAGATGCATATCAAGGTAAAAACATCCAGCCATATTTTTATTTCTTTTAAAGCAGGATCTTCCAGGGTGTCTTTCCATAGAGAGGGAACTGATTTTCACACCAAATCCATATCCATATGTCCAATCTTCTGGAGATATTTCCCTTTGTTAGTTGCAAGGATTTCAGTCACAGTATCAAGGTTTTGTGTTTTGCAATTTACCCTGCAGTCTCAGATATATAAAAAAACCACTGATTTTGTGATTTCTGCTTAGTCACTAATGCTTTACATTGTATTTTTAAAAAGAATATATATGTATCAAGGCTGTCCTTTGATTTATTTTTTAAGGACTAGCAAAGTAGCATTATATGGCACTGATTTCCTGTGCAACCTGCTGTAGGGAACCTGCTTTGGCAGGGGGGTTGGACAAGATGATCTCCTGAGGTCCCTTCCAACCCCTGTGATTCTGTGATTTCATTGTAAAAAAACAGGTCCATTCATGATCAAAAAACCTAATGGAGTCAAAGGGATTATAGCTATTAGTAAGCCTTATCCCCATCCCACATCTTGATGACCAGATCCTGGAGCATTTGATAATCATTTAAAAGAAACCAAAAATGAAATGCAGTCTCCAGTTCTCATGTTAGTTAGTTGGATGTTTGTTGTGTGTAACAAGTTTAAAACAAACAAACAAAAAAAAACCCCAAAACAAAATCTCACCTGTGATCCAGCAGCAGTGCAGGTTTGCACTGGTAATTCAAAGGGAATTATTCCTCAGACCTCCTCTCTCCAAAGACACCTTCGCTCTCATTTTCACTGTCATAGTTTTCAGGGGAACAGGGTTATGCGCAGAAATAAGACAAACAAGTATTTAAATGTGAAAGTTAAAGAACAGGTTTCTGCTGCTGTGTCCAGGACTATAATTATTCATCTGGCATTTTTTCAGTGTTCTAGGGAAACAGGTCAAGAAAAGTGTCAAGAGAGGTTGGACACTACCAGTAATCTTGCAATATTTTGGAGAATGGCCTGTGGTTGTACAGCATTAGGATTCACTGCAGTTGCAGAAATGGGTGTAATTCATTTGAAGTATTAAAGACAAATTTAAGCAAAACCATTCTTGTGAACAAATTTACTGAGCTACTTCTTCAGCTCTTGTAAGCACATTTACTCCAGCTGGGCAACCCCTGTTTTTACCATTTGAGATTTTGGCCTCTTGTTTATAATTCAGGCTAACATGCGTGAAAGGCACTGCATGTGGTTTTTGTCTTGGGCTGCCCCTCCATCACGGGCTTATGCATACAAATTGAAAAACTGTTTTTACAAGTGGCAAGTGTGAGAGATTAGCCATGTAGTTGCCATTTCAGCTGCTGATAAAAAAAGCCAGCAACAGATTCTTTCCAATTCCATTGCACACAGTACCAAGTACTCATTTTCTGAAAACTGAAATTGAAGTTTAGCTTTCATTTTTTAAAATTTTAACTGAACATACCCTACTGGGTTGCCACTTAATTGCTCCTCTTCCTCAGGTCTTCCTCTACCTCCCCGCCGCACTGCCAGAGCATGCCAGTGCCTGTCTGCCATTTCCAATACAGTCATTAGTTTTTAACTTTTCACACGCACACCCCCAGATATTGAAACCTGCCCTGAAAGATTGGACGGTTTTGTGTCTCCTGGATATGAATCACTGAGTTCATTCCTAAAATAGTTGTTAAGAGTTTGGGATTGCAGCCAGGAAAATACAGGAAAAGGAAATCTGATCAATTGAGCACATTTGGTTTGTTGTGTACATGGATGTACCAACCCCTTTTCTTACTATAACATGGTGTATCCATGTGGGATGCATATCCACATAGCCTATTGCCTGGGAGGGGGCTTCACACGAGGCTGCAGGAGTTAAGATTTCATTCAGCCAGGAAGCTGCCCAGTTCAATAGCATCAGTTATTTTTTCAAAGGTAAATACTTTTTAAATACTAAAATCTTTCAGGCTTGCATTGGAACAGCAACATCTCTGAAATCATTTTGCTTGCGGTTTGCTGTGCACTGTCCCACCCTGCTCTCCTCAGAAAACCAAGTGTAGGTTCACTCAGGCGGTAGGGAGGAATCGGCAGCAGCTGTATTCACTCCCTGCACGTCTCCTAAATCTCAGTGGTCGTGTAAACACAGCTCACAGAGAAATTTCATCTTTCTTATAAGTGCTTTTACTGCTACAACCTGTAATTTACTCATCAGTTAGATTTTTTTTCTTTTTAAATAATATAAGGTGTTTTGATTTGTGTGTCCTTCCTGCTTTTGAGCCGATCATACTCACACTTTCTTCCCTAATTATATAGTCAGGTTTTTTTAAATGGCTATCAGTGATTTGGAAGAGGGTTCAGTTGAAACACTGAAAAGGGCCTACAAGAAAACTGGGGAGGGACTTTTTACATGGGCAGTTAATGACAGAACAAGGGGAAATGGCTTTAAACTGAAAGAGGGTAGGTTTAGATTAGATATTAGGAAGAAATTCTTTCCTGTGAGGGTGGTCAGACACTGGAACAGGTTGCCCAGAGAAGTTGTGGATGCCCCCTCCCTGGAAGTGTTCAAGGCCAGGTTGGATGAGGCTTTGAGCAACCTGGTCTAGTGGAAGGTGTCCCTGCTGATGGCAGGGGGGTTGGAACTGGATGATCTTTAAGGTCCCTTCCAATCCAAACCATTCTGTGATTCTATGATTCTATGAAATCTTCAAAGATACTATTTCTGTTGTTGCATTTGGACCAACAGTGCAGCATGTTTTACCAGGTGTGAAGTATTCTTTTTATTTTCAAAATTAATAACTTACTTTATTTGGGCAGAGGGGAGATTTTAGGTAGATACATGGAAGGATCCTTTCACAGGCTGTTTGCTGAGGAGTTTTGGATTAATACTACTGATTTTGTAGGAGGTTATCACAGAATTACCATATTTGCTCTGCAGAAGTTCAAGGGAAAAAGAGAATACTGGCAAGACTAGAGAGACTTGTTAGTAAATTCCTCCTAAAATATATAATTAGTACTGCTTATTGTTAATGAGGCTTTTTAAATGGTAAAAATTTCCATGGCCTGTGGTAGGAGGGGGAGAGCATTCAGGAGGCTCGCAATGGTTCCTTTATGGTGAGAAGTCTCTTATCCCCTGAAGAGGCATTACGTTCGGACTGAAACCTGAGCTGTGCTCTAGTTATCGAAGGTGGTGCCAGTTTTGCCTGACAAAATGATTTAAATATTCTCCACAACCAAGGCAACAATAATTTGGTCTTAGCTGAGAAAAGTCTGCTAGTGGCAAAAGAGTCTCTGAGGGATTTCCACCCCCCCCCACATATCCATATATCTTATTGTGAAACAAATTCCACTCTGGCCTAGCCTGCTTAAATTGTACTGACTTCTATAGAATGGTAAGGAAAAAAATTAATTTTAAACTAATTAAAATATTTAAATTGCTTTAAAATTACTGTTCCTTAGAAGATCTTAGGTTACTTACGTTTTAACATGAGTAAAAGCTGTTGGCTTACTGTCTTTCTCTCCCTTTAAGAAATTGGAAGAACAGGACCGAAAAGCTCTAAATATTAAAGAACAATTACAGCGGGAGCACCGCTACCTCAAACGCAGATTGGAGCAGCTATCCGTGCAGGGCATGGAGCGTATCCGCACTGACAGTATGGGATCAACAATATCCACTGACTCTGAACAAGGTAATTGAACGAGGGCTTCCCAGAGGGAGTTGCAGGAGCAGAAAGGAAAGGGGAAGTAGGGAAGAAAGAAAACATTATTTAGAACTAAAATCGAGCTTTCAACAAAACCCAGACAGAATTGTTCCATTATGCAATTTGCAGAATAAAAAACTTCTGCATCTTTTTAACATTCTTTGAAAAATTTTGTTTTCTCTAATCAATTTTGAAGCTATTAATACTGTGTGTATTTTTAACGCTGTTTATACTGCGTGTGTTTTTGCCAGTTTTTTAAACAATTACCATTTAATGTTCTGAGTTTTTAGTGTAATTATTGGTAAGGCTGGCATAATATTTTCTTCTTGGAAGAAAAGATCTTATTGGTCTTAATTCATTTGTGTGAATAAATTAATTCCACATCATTTGTTGAGAAATTCTAAAATATTTTCTGTGTAACGATCACCCAGTGTTCTCTACATTTGGTTCTCATTTAAGACAGAGCTCTCCACGCTGCCTGTCACCATTTCTTGTTTTCTCATTTGAAGTTTTTCTGTGCCTGAACACTCGCACAGGCTTTTCCAGGGCCTGTGGGAGATGAGTTGTTGGTCTCGATGCAGTTACTGGTGGACAGATGGCCACACCACGGTCACTACTAGCCGACACCTGTATAGGTTGGAATTACCACGGTTGGTGCTGTGGTATTGTGGCCTCTGAGGGTTTGGGTTTTTGTTTTTTTTAAGATCGGTGTCTATGCACAGGTTGGAACAGTTCTGTAACAGCATTTGGTATTGATGTCATGCAGTATGTTTATGCGGATGAGGACAGAAGGGATTTCAATTCTCAGGTGGACAAGATGATCCTTTCTTCAGGAATTACTGTCCCAGTTTTTTTTAATTACAGAAATGAGGTACGATTCAGGTTTCACCTGAACAGTGATTGATACAGGTGATACTGGCCCATGATTACTTGCTACAGTTGCTGCCTTTCTGAAAATGTGCCTTCTTATGTTTTCTTTAGAAGTAGACATTGAAGGAATGGAGTTTACTCCAGGTGAAATGGACAGTATTGGAAGTGCCAGTGATGCTGAAGACCACTACAGTTTGCAAAGCGGTTCGAGTGACGGAGGTTACACACATTCCCGCAGACTGAATGCCAGGCTCTCATAGTGCCTGAGTTACCCGTTCAACTCAGGACCATCTGACTGAAGCACTTATATTATGAATATTCCAGAGGTGTCAACTGCCACTCTTCCGGGAAACCCCAACCACAGTACTCTGACATGGAGGTTTCTTACCCACGGTTCCCTGCACTCAACCACAATATTAGATATTGTACATCATGGGTTTGCTGCAGAGAACTGTGGTTAGGTACAGTTGTGACTTAAAGCTAGCTTGATGTAGCCATACTGCAAATTAAAGACAATAAATTATGTCATTCCATTCAAGAAGTATTAAATTCAAACTGTTGGAAGCATGGCGTAAGGGAGTTTGACAGTTATTTTGATTTTTGCAGAAACCATTTTCAAACATGGAAGAATAAATGGAATCTACAATGTGTTAGTGATTCGGAGATACAAAAACCTAAAACTATTTTTTGTGGTATTTTTTTCATGCAAAAAAAACCCAAACCCAAAACATTTTGAACTCTGTATAGCAGACCGTATAGAGTAAATTCTTTCAGCAGTTGCTGTTTGGGTGAAGCAGGCAGATAAATCTTCAAATCTCAGATGATCTTTAGAAAAGGTCATATTTACAAGTCACTACTGTACTTCAAAACGGGGGAAAAGCCAGCTCTAATAATGACTTCATGTGGGATGATCTCAACTTTCTTTTGCTTTTTTGTATTCAGTATCCAACCAGCAGCAGATCATTCTGTCCATGTTAACAGGAGCAGTAGAAGGCAACACTGCAGTTTTAACCTGTTATCATGGAATGGATGACATTTGAAGCATTTCAGTGGGTTTTTGGGTTGTTTTTTTCATTTCTTTGTCTGAAGAATACAGAACTCAAGTGATCCAGTTTGTGATATTTAATCTTTCCTTGCAAGGAAATGAAATCTCTGTTTGCTTGTATTTTTTTTCTTTTCTTCTATTTACACATGTCAATACATTTTTATGGAAGGCATGGCTTAAAATTACAGTATTCCGCTAGAAGATAATTAATCTTTTTTTTTTTCTTTTGCACACTATAATTGCATTTTCTATTCTTTAAAAAGTGCAAAAAAATTTAAAATGTATGCTGTAAAACAGCAAATTTTATTTAGTACTCATCAAGCTGTTCAGAACATATTTACCCAAATTGTAGCAATACTATGAAGATGTACTTTAATACAACTTCTGCTTAGTGAAGTCATTAGAGCTTGGCTTGCCGGGTAAGAAAAAAACGGACCAGTCTTTGCATTATCTGTTTAAAGAAGGTCTTTTAAAAAAAAAAAAAAGAAGAAAAAAAAAAAGAAAAAAAAAGAAAAAATAAAGAAAAAGCTATAAACACTTTTAGGGAAGTGATTTTAGCAAGTGTAGTCTATATTTCCTGTAAGAGATTTTGTATTATATTTTCCTAAATGTTCTCATTTACTTGTATAGGGAGGGGAATGGTACAGACCCAGACCAGAGTCTCAGGGACTCTTCACCTTTGTCATATTGTGCCTTGGTGACCATTTATGTATGCCTCTCCTTTTCATTGTTTAAAGGACAACTAAGCTTTGTTTCAAGACCCTCTGTTCGAATGGTCAGTTGTCCACCTTCTTACGGATGAAGCAGAGAGGTGTACTTGTATCTTAACCCTCTCACAAGTGATTCAGTGTGGCTTTAAATAAAATTACAAAATTAGGTTTTGGTGCGAGGGTTAATTGTCTTTGTATAAGCCCTCCCTTGGATTCTTCAGCACCCAAATCTATATTTTGTTAGCTTATAAAGTCAGGGTCTCTGTGAGACCAGTGCTCGGTGGCTAGGGAAACACAAACGTACTCTGTAAGGCTATGGGATGTCCAAGTGTGGTGCCATTTTTAGCATTCCGATACAAGACCTCATGACAGACTGACCATAATGATCAAAAACAAAGATTCAGTTGTTCTTTCAACATCTGACATACGTGTCCTCCCTTTGGCTCTTACAACACGGAGTAGAAATATGAATACATTTTGTGGCAGCTTACAAATCCTTGTTTGCACTCTCGCTTACTGCTTGGAACTTGCCAACAAGGAAAACGTATACATTTAATTTACATAACCTAATGGACGGCCACCCCTTCTTTGGCTCTGGGGAGGGGCCTAAGGTTATAAACTCTGGCAGCTGAATAAGAAAACAATTAACCTTTTCTGTGATGCAGGTTTTGGTATTATGTTCTATACACCTTGCATATTACTAAAATCCTCACTGTTGAGGAAAGCACACAGCAATATACTCATTGTGTGTAGCTGACAAGCAGCAGAAATAACTAGCTCCTTTGGTGCATATGTAACTAATTTCCGAATCATGGAAAAAAAAAAAAAAAGAGTTTACTTTAACACACGACTGTTAACAGGAGAGAGAAAAAAAAAAAGGCTAGTATATTGTTGCTGTTCATTTATTATATAATGAACACATTCATGAATTGTAAAGTGTTTCCTTTCATGAGAAGCAGCTCTTGCACAGAACCTCCTAATGAAAAGAGATTTGAAACTTACAGAAGGAAAAACGAGATTTTAAATTGAACATTATTGTACCTTAGGTCGACCTGAAATTTTCCTTTTAAAGATGAATGTGCTAACTTAATGAGTTCTTCCACGCTGGGTATCCATGGCTTTGTAGATCTTATATTTTCAATAAAAATTACTCGAATAATCTTGAGTGGAAATGAAAAGGGTTTATTTGTTTTTACTTTTTCAGTTATTACAGCTGGGGACTATTATGCCAGTAAAGAAAAATGACACCATCCTGCCTATGGCACTGTCCCTCAAGCACAGCCCGATGTAAGGTGGTGTTTTCAGGCACAGCCCTCTTTCCTGCAGCTCGGAAGGAGCAGCCCTGTTGAAGGCGATGGCACAACTGTTCCCAGTGTTGGGTTTGGTGGCTGGTTTGGGCGGCCACCTGCCCCCTGAGCGGTGCTGCGGTCCAGCGCTGTCCCGGCCAACCCATGGTGACAATCGGGGACATTCCTTTAGGGACATGGTTCACCTGCTACTGAGCAGCCAGCACAGCGCTACCTGTGACCATAACACCTTGGGATACAAATTCTATTCTTATTTCTATTTTTATTCATTACTTTTTTGAGCTGGGTATTTGTGTGTGTGCTCCGTGTGTGTGCATGCATGCATGCATCCGTGTGTGCGCGCGCAACTGTAGCTGTAATCGGAACGTGCCTGCGAAAAGCGTGCTGCTTGCTGCGAGATTAAATGCTACCACTGCCTCGGCGGCTCTGCCGTTCTGTGTCGTGACCGTGCTTTTAGCAGGTGAGGAGATACCACTGCTCAGTTAATCCATCTTCTCTGCAGTTACCACATAGGAAAAGAAGGAGGAGGGACAAGATTACAGGGCTGTGAGGTCTTTTCCTCTGTGGAAAAGGCTGTGGAGAGATGAAGTCATTGAGAAGTTCTTTTTATGGAGACATAGAGGTTTGGCTTGTTTCCTGGTGGGAGAGGAAAGGAAGGGCTTTCCCTTGCAGCACGCAGGTGTCGCGAGGCTACACGCCTCTTCGTGTGGCCTAAAAAACAGCCTCAAATTGTTAGCTTTTTACTGCAGATTCTCTGCTGCAATTCGGAGGATGAATCCTCCTTCACGCCCATCCTCTCTCTGCCCAACTTGTACGCCCCCAGGCCCATTGCAGCTGATTGATTTATCTTCTGGAAAGAGCAGAGTTCAGCAAGTAGAAACTCTACAACACATCGCTTCCCAGAGACCGGATCCTGTATTGTCTTCTGCAAAAAACAAACTTGGTTCAGAGAGAGTTTTATCAGATTAAAGCAGAAATAAAGAGGCCCCCAAAAATCCAAGAACAGGACAGTTTTTCACCTGGTGTTTATAGACCAGTTTCTCTCCTAATTTCTTAGTGTAAGATTTAGAGTGGAAAAAAAAAAAAAAAAAGATTTAAAATCTAATACAACTTGCATCTAACTTAACTTTTCCTGGTATTGAATGGTGTTATTTTTCTTGTTACGGATGAGTATGGGTTCAGCTCTACCACATGCAGCCTAACATCATTCTGTATTAAAAAAGAAAAAAGTATTTCTATTGATCTACAAACAAACTACTATGATAAATACCAGTATTCTGAGCACCCTGCTATGTGCTCTGCATAACCCATTTTGGTGGATGAACTTAAATGCCAGAAGAAGAGAACCTGGAAACGGAAAGAGGTGAAGTTGCATGTGTGTGAGCTCTGCCTGCAGACCTGCTCCCATCCCGAGCCCCGGGGCATCTTTGGCTGCAGGACGGACTTCTGTTTTTCCTGGAGGTATTTACAGCAGCCTCTGCTACTGTGACAAGTGATTATTTTACCAACTTTATAGCAGACTGGTAATTAGCAGTGACTTGCTTCATCCTCGCAGATCAGCCCTGTGGAAGAGAAACACATTTTTTAAAGAAATCCATCATCACAGCTTTTAATCAAGGAATATTAATTTTATACACTTCATTTTATGATGGTGTTGATAAAGCAATGTCTGCAAAACAGATTACTCTCTCAGAATTCTGTTAATTATTTTTTTTTTTTAACTATTGGAGGCCACTGGCTGTGTGTGGCAGGAGTAACAGTGTCGATACTGAATTCACTAACTTGCACTTTCCAAATTTAGTGGAAAGAGAACTGAATCCCTTCAGGTACTCTTCAAGGAAGAACTGTGCTCCCTGCAAATAGTAATGGGGCAAACACATCAGAAATTCATTTCACCAGTAATGAAATGAGCCAATTTGCTTAAGTGACTGACTAAATGCTGTTGTTAATTGGTAGCTGCAAAAGAAACATCCAAATATGTTGCACAACTGCCTAGAATTAAAACATTGGGGCTATACGAAACAGAAAAGGCCAGAAACCATTTGGCCACCTTGGCTGATCTCTCTACCTGAGGTATTGTAAATTAACCCCAGGAAAGGATTCCCGGGAAGGCACATCCAGCCAGACTCACCCATTGGCAACACTCCAGTTTCAGAATTTCTTCCTTCCATTTTGCACAAGAGGTGTAAAATGTGGTTACGCACGATTGATGTCATTGAAAGGGTCTGTACAATATGGATTTTTAAGTGATGAAATTTTGGTGCATGTGAAGCACTGACCAAGAGCCTTCTGCTGTTTAACGGTCCAACTGTTACCTAAAGGTGTCAGTGAGTGGGTTCTGTGCCAGAGCCACTGGGTCCCAGAGCCAAAGGAACGGTTCATGCTCTGTGAGATGTGTTACACTGTTCAGATTCGTTTGTACGCACATGCAAGGTGCTTGCTACATTCTGTAGCACACGGAGTATTATGTTGTATCATTATCTTGTCATAATATAAATACAAATTTTTATACCTTTTTGTTGTGGTTTTCTTTTTTTAAAAAATGTTCATCATTTGTTTTTTTGTGTATAGCATTTCTTCTCTTTGCAAATCTTCACTTACAGGCTTCAGGACTATTTCATAAGGAGCTCATTGAGTTTTAGCAATTCAAATTAATAGTATGGTACGAAGGCTGGAGTACTATTTAAGCTAAATTGCTTTTACATATGTTGGCCCAGTGAAACCCCAAGAGTCATTTACGTTATTTGTCTCTAACCAGGGGTACTGTACAAATTTCCACCATTACATTTCTAAAGACAAACCAACCTGTAAAATAAAGCGCAAACGGAAACGCGTTAGTGTCTGTTCTAAGTAATTATAGTTGAAATCGTTCCAGCTCCATACAAGATAGGAAAAAAAAAAAGCATTACAAGGCAGCCTAAGTTCTGCATGTGTATTTTGTCAAATATGAAAGTCACATCACAAGTGATGTACAGCCAGACAAAAATGAGCATTTTTGTTTGTTACTAAGTGAGATGAAAGGAGGGACAGAACTGAAAGGCTTTTGCAAATTGCATCGTTATGCTCTCAGTTGTAGTGTGTGACAGCCACTGGTTTTTGTTTTAGTTTCTCAAGCATGTTGCACTTAAATACAGTGATGTCTTAAAAATATAGAAATAGTAGTTTTAAGCTGAAATCATGGCAATGTCTGTATGTTTATGTTTGATTAAAATAAGCTGAGCTGCTGAGTCAGTAAAAATATTCACGCACAAAGCATAGTAAACTATTTGTTTTATCAAAGCTTTCTTTGACATTACCACTATCACAGGATAAGCATAAAATACAATCCAGCACAGCACTAGTTTATTATAAATTAATCTCCAACAGGAAAAAAGCCACAATAAACATTTAGCAGTGCTATATTTTGGGACAGCACCACTTTTCTTAGCATAAGAAAAAACTGCTTAGGGTAACAGAATTATGACAAATGTGGTGGCACTATTTTTGTAAATCCTTTACAGTTTA